AGACCAGGAGCTCCACCTCCCCCACCTCCTCCAGGCAGACCAGGAGCTCCACCTCCCCCACCTCCTCCAGGCCGACCAGGTGCTCCACCTCCCCCACCTCCACCTGGAGCTGGAGGGAGAGCACCTCCACCACCACCTGCACCTGGAGGAAGGCTTGGTGGGCCTCCTCCACCTCCTCCTCCAGGTGGCCGTGCACCAGCTCCTCCTAGAGCACCAGGCGCTCCACCACCACCAGGAGGCAATCCTACAAACTCTTTAGGTAGAGGGCGTGGTGCTGTACGTCCTCCAGGGTCAGGTTTTGGGCCTGCAGCCGCACGCAAATCAACATTAAAGCCGCTGCATTGGGTCAAAGTGACAAGAGCTATGCAAGGCAGTCTCTGGGAGGAATTGCAGCGAAATGATGACCCACATAGGTAATTTTCTGTCCTCTTGATTAAACATTTAAACATATACTTTCATCTCAAGTATGCTTATTATACATGCAACATTTCCAATGATGTACTCCCTCCGTTCCTAAATATAAGTCTTTTTAGATATTTCAAATGGACTACATACGGATGCATGTAGACATATTTTAGAGTGTAATTCACTCATTTTGCTCCGTATGTACACTTGTTGGAATCTCTGAAAAGACTTATATTTGGGAACGGAGGGAGTGGTTGCTACTTGTTATAAGGTTGAATTCAGACTTCTTAGTTTTAATGCTGTACAGTACATGATTGTAGGATCAATTTTAGACCAAGCCATTGTTCAATATCTTGTAAAGCACTATGCCATGATGATCACATCACCTTAATATCATCAACGTCTTTTGATATTTTTTATCTTAATAATGTGGGAAACTGTTTTCTGCAGTGTATCGGAGTTTGATTTGTCAGAGCTCGAGAGCCTTTTTCCAGCAGCCGTACCAAAAACGGATAACACCTCCAAAACCGACAGAAGAAAATCTCTTGGATCAAAGCCAGAGAAAGTTCAGCTGGTAAGTAAAATGCTAACATTTGGTACTCCCTCTGATCCATATTACTTGTCTTAGATTTGTCAAGACACGTTTTAGTGTTAGATACATCCGTATCTTGACAAATATAAGACAGGTAATATGGATCGGAGGGAGTAATGAAATTCGCAGTATAAAATTTAACTCATTATAGCATGAACAATTTCAGCATTCAGCAATAGACTGTGATTTCTGCCTTGTAATTTCAACTCTTTAGAGTAACTAGATATTCTTTCCCTTTTTGGCGGTGAGAGTACTAGATATTGTAGTGCGAGATTTCTTCGCTTTTTATTTTCTTGATATGATTGCTACCATTTGCTTAGGTACATTGTTACTTAACCCTATAGCATAATTAGATATTACAGTGTATAGTTTTGAGAAAGAACTGGTCTCCCCATCTGATATCCCATTGTAAGCCATGTTTCATCTAATCTAGTAGTATATGTAAATAGATTGAGTTGAGGAGGGCAAACAACACGGAGATCATGCTTACAAAAGTGAAGATGCCGCTGCCAGACTTGGTGGTAAGAATTTGAGCAATGAAAACAAAGATAATATTAAGTATGACATGATAAGATTATTTATTTAGTCACTAAATTTTCAACAGAGTGCGGCACTGGCACTTGATCAGTCTACCTTGGATGTTGATCAAGTGGAGAATCTCATAAAGTTCTGTCCTACGAAAGAGGAAATGGAGCTTCTTAAGGTGAGTATTAGTGCAATGTTGCCTTGCCTCCTTTGTGATCCCATTTTAACACAGCGTCACCTTCCATTTTTCCTGTCAGAACTACACCGGAGACAAGCAACTTCTTGGGAAATGTGAACTGGTAATGATTATCTATGATCTATGACGTTTTTATTCTTTTTGTGGTACTTAATACCAGTATCAGAATGTTTACTGATGTTGTTCTTTCTGAATTTGATCGCCCCAGACTTCTTGAAACATGAAAAACACAACATCTCATATTTGGTTTGGCTTAATCGATCATTATTTTAATTTTACATCAAAACATAGCAACATTAGTCAAAGACATTTATGTTTGTGAGCCTTCTTTTGACTCAAAAGTCCAAGACTCAAAGATCATCTACATCCATTCCTTTGTTTGATCAACATTATCCTGGGCATTTAAAATAGCCAGGTTGGATCTAACGTACACATGTGAGCCTGTTAGATACGAGTGTTAAACCTAATTTTGCATGAAATGTTCTTAGGAGTTACGCACAACAGTTATGCTTACCTATTTGAGTATATCAGTATCCAACAAACTATTGCATTTTGTTGCAGTTCTTCCTAGAACTGATGAAAGTCCCACGAATGGAGTCAAAACTGAGAGTATTCTCCTTCAAGATCCAGTTTGGTTCACAAGTCGCAGATCTTGGGAAAAGTTTGAAAACCATAGACTCTTCATGTAATGAGGTATGTTGAGAGTTAGGCATATTGATTTGCAATTAATCTTCACCTGCTGTCTATTAAGTCAAATTCAATTGTATCAGATCCGAAGTTCTCTCAAGTTGAAGGAAATAATGAAGAAAATACTGCTCCTTGGAAATACGTTGAACCAGGGAACTGCTAGAGGTAATAAGAACTGCCTGCCCTTCCCATGAATGAATATATGAATTTTGTAAGCCTTTTTTATAGCTTGTTTGACAGTATTCTATCATATTAAGGTTCTATTTTTTATACAGCATCCTTTAAGAGTAGGATTAACATATTTTGGTGTATGATGCATTGCAAAGATGATGTGAAGGGAGTTGCACCACTTGAATATTATGTGTGCATACTGTCTCGAGCTAGTCAGTGTCATGCCAAATCATAAAGTTCATATTTTGTCTTACATTACATTAAGTTTGCGGGAACTCCATACAACAACAACAAAGCCTTCAGTCCCAAACAAGTTGCGGTAGGCTAGAGGTGAAACCCATAAGATCTCGCAACCATAAGATTCAAGAACTCCGTACGTTCCTCCAAAATGGGCAATTCGGATTAGAGATTTAGAGAAGGATTACAAGAAACTTCTGTACGGGACCTGTGAAATGAATAGCAGTGATCTTGTAACATTAAGGCATTGACAACTGAAGTCATTAATTGGAGATAGAAATGCATGTGGAGGAAAAGTATCATTCGCTGCCAGGTTCATATCTATATATTTTCTTACAGGTGCTGCAGTTGGCTTCCGGTTGGATAGTTTGCTAAAACTTACAGATACCCGGGCAACAAACAATAAGATGACATTAATGCACTACCTCTGCAAGGTATGCCTTTTACCTGGTCTGTGCTGTTGAGTTCTCATGTGTGTGTTAGTACCCTTTCACCAATAGGTAACTTGTATTGCAAACTCTAATCCATGGCCCGCATTTATTTATTTGTTAAGTGTCATGAAATTCGCTCAGAGCAATGAAGTGTCAGTTCTCATGTGTACGTTAACATCCTTGCACCAATGGGTAACTTGTAGTTGTAAACTATGATCCATGGTCTGCATCAAATTATTTATTCGTTCAGCGCCAGGAGATTCGTTTAGGGCATGAAGTTTTAATTCGATTTCATGGTGGAACTTAGGTTGGCATGGTGTGTTTAATCAACAGAATGGCAGATGGCTATGGCCTGTGCTAGTAACTAGCATATTTCTGGATTTCTGTGACTCTCCGCTGCAAAGTGGATATGGAGATCGGATAAATTAAGGTTTCGGGGTCTTCAGAATCCTAGATATAAGCAAAGCTACATGAAACCTAACAGTAACTCAATAAGCCCTAGTCTTTTATCGAGATTGTATTATGCAACTTCATGTAAGTTTGTCAATCAGTATGGGTTCATCTAATAGTTAAAGCAGTGGCAGAAATCGAACAACTTTGAGCACGTCAGTGTTCAGTCTGCATTGAAATACTAAACCAGTAACCAGGTTATAATACGAACAACTTTGACCTTCAGGTTTCTGAATGTGTTTGTTATTGATTTTAATTGACTTTGCATGACAGTAAAATACAAACTCCATTTAGTTTATGCAATGTGCCAGTTCTGTATCGTAAAGCAATCTACAATCTAAGCATCTGAGCACGGTCACTTGTAGTCCTCGGTCTAATAAACTATAGTTAAGTCAAATGATTTACACATTACCACATTGGTCTCTGTCTCCTATATGCATGCTAACAGAAAGAACATCTTAATATCAGGTGCTTGCTGCAAAATCACCACAGCTTTTGAACTTCCATGTGGATCTTGTTAGTTTAGAAGCTACATCAAAGGTTTGCGTTTTTCTCGTCATATTCTATCAGTTCACTCGCAAAAAATTGAAAAATCTATCAGTTAACTATGTAGCATATGTATTTTTCTGTTCATTTAAGATGCACATGCTTTCGTCTTATTGATGCATTTGAACAGATACAACTGAAAATGTTAGCAGAAGAAATGCAAGCAGTCAGTAAAGGGCTGGAAAAAGTTGAGCACGAGTTTAAAGCTTCAGAAAGTGATGGTCCAGTGTCAGAAATTTTCCGTGAGGTCAAACACTGTCTCATTTGAATTTCAGGTTTTAAAGTTGTTTACATATAGTTAGCTGGTACTCTGACCTTAGAAGTGAATACATCCCTGTAGCTCGAGTGCTCAAACAGTCAGATATGCATTAGTTTTAACAGGATAAATCTGAAGCCAAATTTAAAGGATGTGATATATAATAGCGCAGGTTCCTTTGTTAGTTACCTGATGTTTTGACTCCGCAAGTATTTCTGCATCGTATTTTGTAGATAAATTACCTGATTGTAAATGCGAACCCCATGCCTTAACAGGCTGTTTATGTTCAGTATCCTGAAGGTTCCCTGAATAGTAATTATAATCACAAACTGCGTGCGCATGCATTTCCTTCACTTAATAAATCTTATATGCTGAGTTCCTGATTGTGTGAAGTTGTGGAGTGCATATGAATGTCATTTGGTCTAAACTGGTATTACTTGATTCTGTAGAAACTGAAAGAGTTCACTGATAATGCTGGAGCAGATGTGCAGTCATTGTCTTCATTGTTCTCTGAAGTGGTATGTTTCGTTGTTCGGTTCTATGAAGATTACTTGCCATACATTCTTCTTGTATTTGATTTTCTCGTTTCATTGTTTTGGCAGGGAAAAAAGGCTGATCAATTGATCAAATATTTTGGTGAGGATCCTGTCCGTTGCCCATTTGAGCAAGGTATGATACCAGTTTTATTGATTCATCTTAATGAGTGTGTGCTTGTTATATATTTTTGTAATACCTCTAAAGGTTTATTTCTCATGGAATTTCTACTCAATTGCATATGGTACTTGGGCATGCTCAAACACACTTTCTAGGATATGAATTATTTTCTGAGGATGCAATGGGTTGAAGCATATCTGATCTGTGCAATTTTAGCCATGATGTTCTGTGTGTTTGCTTGCTAACATGCCTCACATTTACTCTATCGTGACCATCCTCTTGCAGTTATGTCTACCCTGTTGACATTTGTAACAATGTTCCGGAAAGCACACGAGGAGAATATCAAGCAAGCCGAGCTTGAGAAGAAAAAAGCTCAAAAAGAGGCAGAAGCAGAGAAGTCTAAGAATGCTCAGTTGGCCAGTAAAAATGTATTGATCCTTTTATTTTATATGTTTTGCAGTTTACTCAACCTCAAGCGTTCGTTTATTTATGTTTTTTGATGTGCTCATAGGACTCGAAAGCATCGAATCCAAGCCGACAAGCGAAACAAACGTTAGAGAAAACAAGATCTACAAGTAGGCGAGGAAAAGATGGTGGGTGATCTGAGAGACCAACTCCAGTGTTGTGATTTTGATCTGCCTGCGGGGCAAATGCATGCCCTGTCGGATGCATGCGAAGGACCATGGATTCGCACCGCGTCTTTGAAGGCGAGAAAAGGCGTGTGAATGGACGCAATGACCAGTGGAAGTAGAATGCATCGAAGCAATTGTACAGTACAACAGTACTCCCACCACGGTATGGCACACAGAACTTTAGTTTGAAACAATATACTGAACTGTGCTGGTCTAACTAATTTTTTCTTGCCAGCAAGTCTCACTGGCAAATGGTCGACTATTTTTTCCCTTCGGCCAGCAGGTGTTCAGTGCCAACGTCTGGCTGCTGTAAAGAGCTAACTGTGAAGCTAACTTCATTCTTTTTTTCTTACCCGTGCTATGTTACTTGTTCTTTCTAACATCGGTGGCCAAGTACAGCCGTAGCTTTAGGAGAGTGCAACCAAGGCACAAAGGTGCGAATTGTACAAATAGGAGTAGGGAAAGGGTAGAAGCAAAGAATATGTTCCTGGCATGGTAGTAAATATGAGATGTAAACGCACTCGTAGTGCAGTTAATCGTATTTTTTGTAGCTAGGGTGTCATAGTTTTGATGATCGGTTCGGTTGTATGGCTACTCTTATCAGCCACGCTGGAGGTGCTGCCGTTTTTTTGTTCCACGTGCATGATAACAAGATGGAAGACCCTTCTGGAATCATATGACCTTTTGTTACATGATATGATAGCCTGATCTGTCTAAAATGGCTGAGTTTCCTTCTAGCTTTGTTGACGACCCTTTGTTGGACGGAGTTTCTTGTTTGTGATTGCCAGTCACTCGTGCGGTTGAAAATGCCAGGAAGGCTTGTCGCTCTCTTCAAGCAGACATATTTTTGTGTGTCATAGGAAGAAGACAGTTTACAGCTGCATGCGAAGAAGTTGTCTGGAAAATAACAACTTCTTTGTCAGGGGTTCATGGCCCTATTATGCTTGTCTCCGCGAGTGGCGGTCACAAGAGGACAATGGCTTTGGGTGAAACAAGCAGCTGGCTGTGATTCCTTGTCCCGTACTGTATCAGCCCCAAGACCATGGCATTCCCTGTCCCATGCATTATCACGTGCTCTACTCCATCGAAATGTTCGCCCTCATCATCCAGGGCTGACAAAGAAATTATTTTTTTTGCTCACCGTAATAAGTCACCAGGCAACCGTTTTTTTTGTCTTTGGTCGCAGTGCATTCTCATTGTCGCCCTGACCCTAGAAATCACGGGAGGTATCAGGTATCTCATCCCATCTTGCCAATTGCCAAATGCCAACCCCTAAAGACATGTAAAGACTTGAGTATCATAGCTCTCATAGTCTTGTTGCATGTGCAAAGCTCGTTGCCGTCTCTAAGCTTGCAACCTTATTGAACCCCAAGAGCTTCTAGAGAAAAATTGTCGATGTAGCATATCACCACCCTGAAAAAGAACTCGTTGAAGAAGGCCTGTAGAACACCCGAGGTACAAAAAATTCACACGTTCCTCGACTAGGCCAGAGGCTAGGCAACCTTCGCCGTCAGTCGAAACTGGAGCGCACAGAAGGAAAAACCAAACCCGGAAAATGATCTAAAGACACATGATTTTCCACACTAAAGTTTTAACAGGATACACACATCAAACTTGGAAGTCATTACACTTGATTTAATCGGCGACGACTCTTCTCAACCTCAGCTTTCAAGTCCTCCAACCTCTTCTGGCCCTCTTTTGACTTTTTGCCGCTAGAAATTGCGTAGGGTACCACTGTTCCCATTCCAAAAACGAAAGCCACCGTCATATAGACATGGCCGATAGGTTCGAAGTCAACAGTTGGCAGCTTATTCCAAATGGAATAACAGCGGTGTCCCTGCAGCATGAACCACGGTCACTACATGGACCATAAAGTACAGTTTTGCAGCAACAAAACAAATCATAAAAACACGTGATCAACCTGGGAAGTAATAACATCCGCAGTTGCACACTTGCATTGCATTTGCATGGCACCAATAAAAGAACAACATCAATAATTTGTAACGTATCTATTAGTAGTTGCTACATGGGGTACACAAGAAGAAGTCTAAAACCTGAAATTTGCCTAATACCTTTCCGAAACATGTATACCTATCTTATTTAAAGCGTTCGTTAAGTAATATGAATCCTAGAGTTTTGGCAGAATACTAGTGAATTTGTCAAAATGGACGTGGAACATCTGCATAACTCCCTGGAATACTAGTGAATTCGTCAAAATGGACGTGGAACATGTTATGACTACCTACAATTTTTTTTACTAGCTTAAGGTCAGAAAATATACCAACCTATATCTGTTGTTGCTAGGCCTAGAACATACAATCTTAATCTGAGACTTAGACATTAAGGGAGGTTGATGCGGAAGCGTCAGACACTCTAGCATAGAATCCTCTATCATACGGTTATGGCTCATCTCATGCTTCCTATTATGTCCAAGATTCTTACAACCTTCGATGCTGTGCCTAGACAAGGACAATTTGCTAATCTGATAGCACCAACGAAATCATCCAGGGAGGATGACGATGAAACCCCGGCACAAAATCCTTCATTGACGCATCCTTTGAGTAGATCGACCGAGAGAGTATTGTGCGAACCGTGAAGCTGGAGAGAAGCCGCTTGCCCAGGGTGTCTGCAGTTGGGTTTCCTTGTGCTCGAAGAACAGTCTGGGAGACGGCGGCTACCCGTGCCAACACCGAACACACAATTGCCATCGCCATCTCCTAGCCGATGCCTGGCGGCGCGATGGGGGGCTGCCGCCCGTGTCGCCTAGGTTACGCGACGCTGGGGCCGAGCCGGAATGGCGGCGGTATACTGTCTCACACTACTTAAGTTTAACAGGATATATAGTTTTTTTTTTCCATTTAACAAATACGTTCAGCCTTACTTAGCACAAAAAAACAGGATATATAGATCAAGCTTGAAAGGCATCACACTTCATTTAACAAATACAGCAATATTGCCATATGTTATCTTCATCAATGACTCTTCTGACGATCAGCCTCGTAAGCCCTCCATTCAGCCTTCCAGTCCTCCAACTCCTTGGCGCTCTCTTTTGCCCTTTTGATGCTATAAATTGTGTAGGGTATCATTGTTCCCATAAAAAAAGTGAAAGCGAACAGCATCGGAATAGGACCGACAGGATAAAAAATCTCAGAAGAATGCAGCTTATCCAAAATGGAATAAAAGTCGCGTCCCTGCAGCATGAACCACATTCACTACATGAATATTATAGAACATATATAAAAGCAAAAGGTACAATTTCATAGCAATAAAACAAAGTATAAAAATACGTGATCAACCTAGGAAGTAATACATCCACAGTTGTGTTGCATGTCACCAATGAAAGAACAACATCAATAATACCATAGATTAAATCCTACTCCCTCCGTTCGTAAATATAAGACTTTTTACAGATTCCAATATGGACTACATACGGAGCAAAATGAGTATGATCCAAGTATTGTTGGGCAGTAACAATAATAACTGCCCAAGTATTGTTGATTAGTAAGGTTGTCCAACCGCAGTAGCCAAGGAGGCCCAGCCCGTATGATCCAAGACTGATATAAACAGAGGTGAAAGGATCCAAAGTTGGAAGCTTGCAAACTGGGCTATTATTATAACTGTATATATGATTTTGGTTTTGTGTACACTTGATGAGAAGAAATCCGCCAGAGATCAATACTTGAATAGGTACTACCATTCAAGGAGCATCTTGGTGGTGCCCATGGAGGTACACACGAATTAAATTAGAAATGCAAGAAAGTCCTCATACTTTGAATGCCAACAAGTATACATGTTCAAATCGTAGAAGTGAAATTTATGTAACGGAAGGAGCATGGGGTCTCACCATCCATTTTAAGCACAATAATTATTTTATGTCAAAGAGAAAGACTAATCTTTTAGTAGTTGATGTAAAGATCTCTAAAACCTGAACTTTGCCTGATACCTCCCCGAAACATGTGTACCTATCTTATTTGAAGCATTCGTTAAGTTTGAAACATCTGCATATCTCCCTTGAATTTGTTAAAATGGACGTATAACATGGAGTATTACCTAATAATAATAAAGTTACTTGAGGTTCCCAAAGGAAAAAACAGCTTGATGTCAAAAGATGTTCCAACCTATATACCTGTCGCTAGGCAAAGAATCGTACAATCTGAATCTTAGATATAGCAACCTATATACTTGAGGTTCATCTCATGTTTCGTGCTATGCCCACGATTCTTGCAACCATTTATGTGGTGCTGTAGACAAGGCGTTTTGCTAATCTGATAGCACCAACGACTGGAAATCATCCAGGGAGGATGACGATCAAACCCTAGCACAAAATTTTCCATTGACGGTTCCTACTATGGGTAGATCGTCCAACAGAGTATGGTGCGAACCTTGAAGCCGGAGAGGAACCGCTTGCCCAGGGTGTCCGCAGTTAGGTTTCCCTCTGCCCGAAGAAGCGGCTGGTAGACGGGGTGGCCGCCACGGGCCACCCGCGCCAACACCGAACGCGCCTCCTGCTCCGCCATGTCAACGTCTGGCGTGACCGCCCTACTGGCGAGCTGCTCCTCCGCCTGCAGATGCTTCTGGAGGAGGTGGTGGTTGTAGGCGGCGTCGGCCTGCGCCTCCCAGAATTACTCCTCCCGCTCCTCCCGTAGCATGTCCAGTTAATGGGCACGGGCCCCACCGATGGTCAAGGTGCAGTGCACTGGCGAGGGTGGCACGGAGGAGGAGGAGGGCCGCACGGAGGAGGAGGATGGTGCGCCGACTCGTCGGCGGCGGCCGCATCCTCCATTGGGACGTTGTCATCCTCCGGTTGCCGGTCGGCCATCCAGCCGGCAACAATGGCGGCCATCTCCTTCTTCTGTTCCGGCGTCAGCCCGTCCTAGAGAGATTTGGCGGGGGAACAATCCATGGTGGGAGTGGTGTGGAGAGGGATCGGAGGCGGATGACTATGGCTATGGCCTGGGGCAACGGTTTA